TCCTTCTGATTGTTGAACAGTATTCCACTGTGTGTGTATACAAATACAAATAAATATATATATTTACTGAGTCTTGTTTATATAGATACTAGTTGACAGACATTAAGATTATTTCCAGGCCGGGCGCGGTGGCTCACGCCTGTAATCCTAGCACTCTGGGAGGCCGAGGCGGGCGGATCGTTCTGAGCTCAGGAGTTCAAGACCAGCCTGAGCAAGAGCGAGACCCCGTCTCTACCAAAAAATGGAAAGAAATTAATTGGACAGCTAAAAATATATGTAGAAAAAATTAGCCAGGCATGGTGGCGCGTGCCTGTGGTCCCAGCTACTCGGGAGGCTGAGACAGTAGGATTGCTTGAGCCCAGGAGTTTGAGGTTGCTGTGAGCTAGGCTAACGCCACGGCACTCACTTTTGCCAGGGCAACAGAGTGAGACACTGTCTCAAAAAAAAAAAAAAAAAGATTATTTCCAATTTTTGGTTATTATGAATAATGCTACTACGAACATTCATGTATAGGTTTTTTTATGGTCATATATTTTCATCTCTTTTGGGTAGATTCTTAAGAATAGAATTTCTGGGTTGTAGTCAGTTTATGTTTAACCTTTTAAGAAACTACCAAACTGTTTTCCAAAGTGGCTATATACATACCCACCAGCAATTTATGAGGATTCCAGTTTCTCCACATCCTTACCAACACTTGGTATTGTCTTTTTCTTTTTAAATATAGCTATACTGGTGGGTGTGTGGTAGTATCTCATGATTTCAACTTGCATTTCTCTAATGATTAATGATGTTGAACACCTTTTCATGTACTTATTAACCATCTATATATCTTCTTTAGTGAAATGTCTGTTCAAGTCTTTAGACCATTTTAAAATTAGGTTGTAGGTCATCTCATCGAGGTATAAGAATTCTTTATATATTCTAGACACAAGTCCTTTATAAGACACATGAGTTGCAAATATTTTCTCTAGGCTGTGGCTTATCTTTTCATTTTCTTAATGGTGTCTTTTGAATTGTATTAATAAAAGGTTTTAATTTAAATGAAGCACAATTTTTTTTCTTTTTTTGATACAGGGTCTTGCTCTGTCTCCTGGGCTAGAGTGCAGTGGTGTCATCATAGTTCACTGCAACCTCGAACTCCTGGGCTAGAGTGATCCTCCTGCCTCAGCCTCCAGAGTTGCTAGGACTACAGTTCTGTGCCACCAGACCTGGCTGATTTTTCTATGTTTTGTAGATACATGGTCTCATGTATGGGATCTCACTCTTGCTCAGGCTGGTCTTGAACTCCTGGCCTCAAGCGATCCTCCCACCTTAGCCTCCCAAAGTGCTAGGATTACAGGTGCGACCTACCATGCCTGGCCAATGAAGTACAATTTATCAATTATTTTATGGCCCATGTTTTTGGTGTCATAACCAATTCTTTGACAAATCCAAGGCCATTAAGGTTTTTTTCCTATGTTTTCTTCTGAGAGTTTTCTAGTTTTAGCACTACATTTAGATTTATGATTCATTTTGAGTTAATGATGTGAGGCAAAGATCTAAGTTTTTTGTTTGTTTGTAGATTGGTTGGTATGTGGATATCTGATTGTTCCAGCACCGCTCGTTGAAAAGACAACCATTTCCTCACTGAATTGCCTTGGCACCTCTGTTGAAAACTGATAGACCATAAATGCCTATCCTTATACCAATAGCATAATGTCTTAATTATTCTAGCTTTGTATTTAATTTTCAAATCACATGGTTTAAGTCTCCCAACTTTTTTCTTTTTTTTTCTTTTAAGCCAGTCAAATTTAGCATTTCTAACTTTGATAATTTGCATCTTTTCTCTTATTTTCTCAGTCAGTCTAGTGTATTAATGCTTTTATCATTATCAAATGTCCCTATTTTTCTCTAGAAATATTTTCTGTTAAGAAGTCTATTTTGTCTGATTTTAATATAGCCACTCTAGCCAGGTCTCTTATAGTTGCTGTTTGCATGGCATATGTTTTTTCATCCTTTTATTTTCAGCCTGTTGTGTCTTTGACTCTATGGTAGTATTATAGACAGTGTATAGTTGGGTTTTGCTCTTTTAAATCCAATCTGATAATCTCTACTTTTTGAGTTAGATATTTATTGTATTCACATTTAATGTAATTTTTTTTTTTTTTTTTTTTTTTTTTGAGACAGAGTAGTGCCGTGGCGTCATCCTCGCTCACAGCAACCTCAGACTTCTGGGCTCAAGCGATCCTCCTGCCTCAGCCTCCCGAGTAGCTGGGACTACAGGCATGTGCCACCATGCCCGGCTAATTTTTTCTATATGTTTTTAGTTGTCCAATTAATTTCTTTCTATTTTTAGTAGAGACGGGGTCTCGCTCTTGCTCAGGCTGGTTTCAGACTCCTGAGCTCAAACAATCCGCCCGCCTCGGCCTCCCAGAGAGCTAGGATTACAGGCGTGAGCCACCGCGCCGGGCCATAATGTAATTATTGATATGGCTGCTAGCAACAAATATCCCAGTCTTTAGCTAGGAATGTCTTTATTTCTCTTTCATTATTTGGGGGCAGTTTTGCTGTATATTGAATTCTTGATTGACAAGTTTTTCTTTCAGCATGTGGAATGTGTCATCCATTGCCTTCTGGTCTCCACTGTTTTTGTTTTCTTTTTTTTCACAACTCCCCTTTCATAGAATTTTTTTTAAAGAAAATGACAAAGGATGGACTATTTACTTATTTATTTAGTGAGATGGCATCTCGCTATGTTGCTTAGGCTGGTCTCAAACTCCTGGCCTCAAGCAATCCTACCGCCTCAGCCTCTCGGGTTGCTGGGATTACAGGTGTGAGCCACCATGCCCAGTGGTCCCACTGTTGCTGATAAGTCAGCCATTAATTGTATTTTTGTTCCACCATATGTGTTGAATCATTTTCCTCTTGTTCCTTTCAAGATTTTCTTGTCTTTCAAAAGTCTGATTATAAGGTGTCTAGGAGCAGATTTCTTTTTATTTATCCCACTTGGGGCTCACTGAACTTCTTGGAACTGTAAATTAATGTTTTTCATCCAATTAGGGCAATTTTGATCCATCTATTTCTTCAGATTTTTTTTGATTTTTTTCTTTTACACATATGTTGAGGTACTTGATATCACACAGATGTGAGGCTCTGTTTACATTACTTCAATCTTTAAAAAATCTTTTCTTTAGGTTGAATAATTTCATTTGCTCTACCTTCTAGTTCACTTATTCTTTCTTCTGCCATCTCAAACGTTGAGTCTCTCTAGAGAATTATCATTTCAGTTACTGTATTTTTCAATTCGAGAATTTCCATTTGGTTTTTTTAAAAAATATTTTCTATCTCTCTATTGAGATTCAGTATTTACTGAGTCTTTAATTCTTTAAACACAGTTTCCTTCTGATCTCTGAACATATTTAAATAGCTGCTTTGTAGTTTTTCTCAGCTGAATCCTACATCTGAGGACAGACACTCAGAGGCAGTTCCTATTGACTGCTTTTTTCCTGCACATAGATCACATTTTGCTTCTCTGAATATCTCTAATTTTTTTGTTGAATACTGAACCTTTTAGATAAAATATGGCAGCAACTCTGAATTCTGACTTTCCCCAGAAGGATGGTCATTATTTTTGTTTTGCTTATTTAGTAATATTCCTGGACTAAGTCTGTCCTCTAAAAGGTACAGTTGTTGATTTCATTATTCAACTTTTTTTCTTGTTTTTATTTTTAAATGTGGCTTCTTGGGGTCATCCCCATGTCTGCATAGCTTAGTGTTCTGGAAAAGACTAGTTAGAGGTTTTGCTCCAACAGCTTGAGCCAGAAAGCCTTGTTCTCGCTGCTCCTGACTCTGTGTGTGGGCTGGGGAGCACATTCAAACCTCAGGCTGTTTTTATGTCTGCCCCAGCTTTTACTTTCTGCTGGCTCTCTCACACGTCCTCTGTGTGTGCACACAGGCTCTGCTGGCCAGGGCCGTATGGGTATTTTGAGCCTGCTCCCTGTCTGCTGCTCATGCACACAGACTAGCAGCAATCTGGGATCTATGGAGAGCTATCAAGCCCCTGATGGCTGCCTCACCTCCCAGAACCACCTAGGAAGTCCCCAGCTAGATCACTGGTCCATTACTTGCTCCAAAGAGGACTATAAATTCAAGCTAGTGGAGCTACTGGCCTTTCCTGTTCATTTGCCACCGAGATGGCCACTTTAACAGATAATCCTCCAAACAGAGTAAGCCCCTCCTGGAAGCAGCAGCAAAGTTTGTGGTTTTCACAGCCTGCCCTACTCTGGTTGAATGATCACACTGACAGAGCTGAGCAGGAGGGAAGAGGGAAATGTGAATGACAATAGGCACGAATGCCACAAATTCATCCTGTTCCTGCCCAAAGTTCAGTAGTTTTCATGAACAAATGCTTCTCAGTTTGTTGTATGCCTTTGGTCAACTGTTAGAGAGCTGAAAGGGATGTTTTGGCTCCTTCTATTTCTTCATAGACTCCCCCCTGCTTTACCTCATGCTTCAACCATGGTCATTCAGATACACAAAGGCCATTCTTGGGCTTCATCGGAGTGTCCCAACTTGGCCATTTGTCTATTTGCATTTCTTTGTCACTCAGAGAGGCTGAGTCCTCTTGGGCAAGTCACTTGAGCTCTGGCCACCCTCACGGCCCCCAGGAAGGAAAGTAAGAACTGCCCAATGCATCTAGGGGTCTAGACCCTTAAAGCTGGAGAAGGCTTAGATGTTTTTCGGCAAAACTTCTCATTTTCAGATGGGTAAATTAAGGCACAGGGAAGTTAAGGGGCCTACCCATGATCACCTTCCAGGATGTGATAAAAATTAAATATGTCCTGCTGATAAAATAAGCAGAAGGCATCAGAAATTGTTACCAGAATAAATGAAGGATCAGGCTCAGGGCCAGTACCTAGAAATGGTTTCATGAAGATCAAACTTCACATCACCCAGGCTCTGAGAACTCTGAGCACACAAGCTCTCGAAAGAGGTTTGCCCACCCCTTCCCTCTCTCTTACCTTAGCAAAGAAAATCCAGGCTGCACACTGTCCTGGGGCCAGAAGGCTTTTTAGCTTCACCGTACTGAACATGAGAAAGAATCCTAAAAGTCCACTGGAAAGAGAAAATATTATTTTGTTAGTGAGGCTTGTCATCTTCTAGCCAATAGCTGACTCATTGATGCTACATTTTACGAGTTAATTCTAAATTACTACAAAACTAACTCACCTGTGTTTTCTAGTGATCTTTGCCTAAAAATATCAAAATTTAAAAACCTATTACCTCTGCTTTTCTAAGGGGAGCATTCCATTGGCAGTGGGAGGGGGGCACAGAAATTGGTGAGATCTCTCGCTAAATCATGAAAGGAAAAAAGAAAAATGGGTGGAGGACAACACCTCCTGTTCCTTCCCAGATTACTTCCGGAGTTTTGGTGCCCACCAAGGTAGAGCTTCAGTTTTTTCAAACAAAACAAACTGGCAGGAAAAGACTTCCAAAGGGAAACTCATCATATGAGAAGAGAGGGTCTCATCTATGGCCATACCACCCTGAACGCACCCAATCTCGTCTGATCTCAGAAGCTAAGCAGGTAGGGCTTGGTTAGTACTTGGATGGGAGAAGAGAGGGTCTTGACTGGCCCTGGGCTCCAAGTAAAACCTGAAGTGGAAGGCTGGCTGCAGTGACACACGTGGCTGAGGCCAGGAGTCTGCTTTGGAAACGATGCTTACGCACGTGTGTGTGAACTGTGGGAGCCTGGGGGAACATCACGGGGCTGTTCAGAGGTGTGGACCAGCAAGGGCACTGGTACAGCCGTGGACAGGGATGTAGTGCCTGTGCTGGAACCACTTTCAAAAGTGCCACTGTGTGGTCAGGGCCAAAGCAAAGGGGGCTCCAAACTCTTCCTGGCACATGGAGGCAGGATAGCTGGGGAAGAGGGGAGGCAGAGACACTGCAAGGGAGAGACAGAGAGAGGCTGACTTCTTGCATATGTGTGTAGGAGGTGGTTTGAGTGTGACTTTGATTTGGAATTGAAAATTAAAGAGATATGATTGCAGTTGTACCCCAAGCCAAGTGGTAGGTCATGTGGGTTGTCCTTCATTTGCACCTCCAGAGGTTTGGGTGTCACACGTCCGTCTGACCTTTGTTATAGGCATGGGTGTGCAGCTCCAACGCAGATCGTAAGCTCTAAGAGGGAAGGGCTCGATCTTGGGCTGCTTTTTGTATTTTCCCCCACAGAGATTAACATGGTGCCTCAGTCACAGTGAGTATTAAATAAATGTTTGTCTACTTGAATTGGAAGGTTGAGTTAAATTGAACACGCCAAGGCCAGATGTGATAGAAATGTGTACCTTCTCTTTGTTAGATTAGATGAGTTCACAGCCACATTCTTGGGGCCGGACAGAGGCCGGCATCGGGTTTCCCCTGTGTATATCTCAGCCTGTCTGGCCCTGACGACCTGCAGAGTTCGTTCAGATCTGCATCTGCCGTCATGGGAGACTGAACAGTTACGGATTAAGACATCAAGTCACACCCAAAAGGCAAAGAGGCCTCTGTGGGTGGGCAACAGGCTTACCCAGTCAGAACAGGTGACCTGGATTTCTATTTGTAACTGTGCTCACTGACCCTCATAACCGTATCCAAATCCCTTTTCCCCCTTTTCTTGTCTCAGGTTCAGTGTTCTTTTTTTTTTTTTTTTTTGAGACAGAGTCTCACTCTGTTGCCCGGGCTAGAGTGAGTGCCGTGGTGTCAGCCTAGCTCACAGCAACCTCAAACTCCTGGGCTCAAGCGATACTCCTGCCTCAGCCTCCCGAGTAGCTGGGACTACAGGCATGCGCCACCATGCCCGGCTAATTTTTTCTATATATTTTTAGTTGTCCAATTATTTTCTTTCTAATTTTAGTAGAGACGGGGTCTCGCTCTTGCTCAGGCTGGTTTCGAACTTCTGAGCTCAAACAATCCACCTGCCTCGGCCTCCCAGAGAGCTAGGATTACAGGCGTGAGCCACCGCGCCCGGCCCTTCAGTGTTCTTAAAGTAGGAGCAAGCACAGCAATTCTCATCTTATCTAATGGAGACAAGGGCCTTTTTTTTTTTTTTGAGACAGAGTGCCATGGTGTCAGCCTAGCTCACTGCAATCTCAAACTCCTGGGCTCAAGCAATCCTCCTGCCTCAGCCTCCCAAGTAGCTGGGACTACAGGTGCATGCCACCATGCCCAGGTGATCTTTTTTTTTGTAGAGACAGGGTCTCGCTACATTGCCCAGCTTGGTCTCAAACTCCTGGCCTCAAGTGATCCTCCTGCCTCAACCTCCCAAAGTACTGGGATTATGGGCGCAAGCCATTGTGTCCAGTCTTGGAAATGTGTTCTTGGCCAGCTAGATAAAGACTGAGATGTTCCAGGTGCCCGTGGCCAGGAGGGTGGGTCTGAGCAGTGAGGCAGCCAGTGCACTGGCTCCTCTTGTGGCTCCCACCCCTAGACCCAAGGAAGTAACAACTTCTCAGGTGCCTGTCCAATCTCCCAGACCTCCTTCCCCTCAGGTCTTTTCCTCTCCTCTCTACCTCCAGCCAGAGGAAGGGCATGATTCCACGTTACCTGTCCCCTTGGTGCAGGGCCAGGAAAAGCTCAGCCCAGTCTGTGACCAACATGCTTATAGAGACATCTAGGACTCCTTCATAGAGCTTGACTTGTATGTCTGTGAGTCATTTCTAAATTACTCACGGATCCCTCGTCTCTCTCCTTCCACCCTCAGCTCTTCTACTCCTTGCTACAGAGGCAGAAGACTCCCTGGTCATGGGGTCTTCAGGTTGTAGCTATCAGTGTCCCTCTAGGTCTCCGTGACCCCTCCTTTGCTCCCCAGGACCCCCCAGTTTCATCTGTGGTCACGGAGGAGCCACTGAAATGACTGAAGAGGCTAAGCTCTGTAGCAAGGGGCGAAATGTATTAATAACAGAGAGTTAAATCAATTCAAACAGAGATTCCCAGATCTTTAAAAAAAACACCCTATTTATCATGTTGTGTTATAAGAGAGCTACAGATTAACAGGGGCAGAAGTAGAGCCCGAAGGTCACCCCACAAAGCCGGCATCAATGCGCTGAGAGCCGTGCTGCTCTGCTCCAAATAACACAGAACAACCGTGCTCCCCCCACCCCTTGATCGCCGGTGCTGCCAAATAACCCGACTCAAAGGGAAACAAGGCCCAGGCACCCGCGCAGCTCTGAGACTCATGCTGTGTAATTCCAGCTAACGGGCAAGGGAACAAAGCCCGATCAAATTGACTGGAACTGGGACAGCAAATTCTGTCAATGTTTCCCTGAAATTTTTCTGAGGGTGATAAGTAAATCATTCTCAGGCTCAAATGCAGAAACAAACTCTATAATATTGATTCTTTTTTTCTTTCGCCCTAGCACGCATGAGGAGCACGACATAGCCCCAGCAGGAACAGTGCCTGGCTGCACAGCAGCTCTGGAGCTCTGGGAAGAATCAGTGCTTCATAGGTGCCATTTTATGAATACATGCGTGGGAACACATGGCCTGACTTTCACGTGGCCACTGCTCGTGATGTGCTGACACTGTACTCACAGCCAGCCTGAGGGATAATCATAATGGCCACCATTTACTGGGCCAGGTACAATGCTTAGGACTTTATATATTTCACTTAATACATGCGACAGCCCTGTACTGGTATTATATTTCTATTTTACAGATGAGAACACTAAGGCTTGGGAGAACTTGGAGAACTTGCCCAAAGACCACACAATTGGCAAGCAGCAACCCTGGGTTCACCCAGGCCTGGCCTTTCCACCACATCGGAACACCACATACACTCCCAGAGTGTCCACAGCAGCCTTTCCACTTCCCAGCACAATAGAGTCAAGCAGAGTGGCGATCGTGGCAGGAAAAGGGAGAGGGGTGGGCATAAACTTCCGTGTGTTTAGATGGACCCATGTAACAGGCCTACATCCCTGAGTCCTTCCCAAGGCCAAATACTGATGGTCACCTTGTTGTCTAGACATCTTCTAGTCATTGGTTCCAAAACCTGTTTCTCAGGGCCTTAGGGTTTGGTGGCGGTTATTTCAGAAGTTTCCTTCGGGAGCAAGAAGGAGGCCAAGGTGGAAGCTGAGAGGGAGGGATTCTGGATCCCAATCTTCCCTTGAACAGAATCAGGTTCATCAGTTTTATACACTGAAGCTCTGTGTGAAAATCTGTGAGATTTGTTTGTGGAGGGGGGAAAGGTGGGTGAATTGTAGCTGTTTAGCAAGTTTGAGAACCACGGCTGAGACACTTCTGCAGGCCAGGGGTCCTAGCGGGGCCCAGGACACCCCAAGAGCCTGAGCATGCTCAGTGGCAGCCTGTTGGTGGCCAAGCTCTGTCCTCGCCTGCACCCACCCCCACTCTCTCCCGCCACTCATTCAGGTCACCAGCAGTGACCCTGGACTTCACAGAGAGGAAGACACAGCTGACAGCACAAGAAACATACAAATGAGTGAGTTCAAGATTACCTGGCACAGCAGCTGCCATGGAATCTGTAGAAATACAGGAACGGGAAGTCCAGGACGCTGAAGAGATCACCTGAGGGGCACAGCAATGGTGAGACGATGGCCCACGTGGCCTCACACGGCCCTCTGCCCCCAGCTGCCCTGGGAAACTCAAGGCCAGGGTCTTTAGCATGGCGGTCCTCTGTGTGTTGAGTTGCCTAGCACCGAATTCACTTTGGCATTCCTAGGGATTCTGTCACTGGCATTGTCTTATAATGATAGTAACCGTATAATAATGATGATCATTTAGTGGGAGCGTGCCTTGTGCGGGACTCTATGCTAAAAGCTTTACGTACTCATCTCTTTTGGGCCTCGAAGCAACTCTGTGAGGTTCTATTATCCCCATTTCAGCCAGAGCTCAGAGAAGTTAAGAGACATGTCTAAGACTGCACAACTCTTAAACTACAGAGCCGGACTGTGAACTCCAGTCAATCCAAACCCTGGGATCTCTCCTCTTCACCAGGCAGCCAACCCTGCACAAGGGCACGTGCAGGAAAAAAGAATCTTTTTTAAAGAATCTTTTCTTCTTTTCTGCCTATGTCTAAAAAAAGGTCATGGATCCATGGCCCTGACATCTTTGTTCATTTTCGTGTTTAATTACTGCACAAACAGCGCAAGGACCAGACCGACTGTGCATACTCATTTTAGTTTGAGGTCCAAAGGGTACATTTATTTCTCGTGAAGTAAGCTCATTCTTTCAGTTCCACTTGGTGCAAGAGGAAATCATCACACATATTGGCTACTTCCATCTCTGGAATTTGAACTTGGTCACAAACAAGAAGTCAGGAGATTAAAAAAGCAGAAAGTGTTCCAAAAATGTCCAGAGAAAAGGAATTAAGCATTTCCACAGCAGATACTTTAATCCTTCTAAATCTGGAGTTTCTGAGCCCCTGGAAAGCCTGGTCTTCCAGACCCCCGGGCCTTGGCCTGTCTCTCAGTCCTGGGGGAACTGGAAGGAAAAGGCTGCTTTTCCCAAGTATTCGCAGTAGGTTAGGTATGCAGTGGAACACCCAGGCAGTACTCGCTTCGCACTACACCTAGTAATCAAGCGTTCTGGAAAAAAAGACACAATGGTTTTCTACACTTCTTCAGAGACCTGAATGATCTCAAATGATTCAGCCATCCACTGGGAAGGAAATGTTTCGAATTCTATTTCTCTGGAGGGTTGTTTTTTTTTATCATGACTGTTATTTTTTGTTTGTTTGTTTCATTTGTGCATATGCACGTGTGTGTTCAACTACAGGGAGAGGGTTTCTTGGGATCTGGTTTTCATGTGGCCCAGCAAGAGGTTAAGAGTTCTTGTTCTCTTTCTACCATCTGATCAGGACCCATGTCCTGGAGGGAATTTGTAAATGACTTCAGGCTCAGTCTTCTAGTGCATGAAGAACACAGACACATTTGGCAGTCCCCTGCCCCACACCAGTGACAGCCAAGGTAACCCTGGGGACCCCGGCCCCCGAGAGCAGCCAGAGCCCACCGTTCAGGCAGGGGGAGGGGAGGACTTGTCCATGTGCACAGAGAACTCAGCCTCTCCCTCTGGCAGCTGTTGGTTCCTGGCCCCTTCCCAATTTCCCTCTCGGTGTGAGAGAAAGTGCAGCGCGGGCAGTGTGACAGTGAGGACTGGCAGAGGGAGAACAATGAAACTGGGGACCCTGAGACCCCCTCTCAGCACCCGGCCCTTCATCCCCAATGCTCCAGGGGGGCGAAATGGACTTGCGGCACGTTGGTGACTTTTATAGCCCAGCCAAGCTTTGGATGGGATCTAAAGAACAGACAGGTGGTCAGAGGAAGACTGGGAGGGAGGGAAATAAAGAAAAAAAGTGGGTCCTAGGTAATTTACCAGTTAAATAATAACCCTCACTCAAATCCTGAAAACTGATTCCATAAATTACGAGGGAGACATAAGAAAATAAGAGAGTAGCTTCCCTGACCTTTGACCATTTCTAAAACCTTCACGTTTCTCACATAGCACACAGTTGACTTCACACCCGTCCCTCCTTCTAGAACTATCAAATCTTGAGAGCTGGGACTCTATTCCACTCACCCCCATGCCCACTGGGTGTCAGCACCCACCCCACACACATGAGCACTGCTGAGCTGAGAAGATCTGAAAGACCCCCTCATTCTCTCCCTGGAGGGAGTGTTCCAGTTTCCACTTGGCTAAGTCGTCCTCAATCTAAGTTGACCCCAAGTGTTCCCCTTTGATGCTGTCAGTCTGCCTTCTCTTTTGCTGAAGTGGCACTCTCAGACAGAGAGGGTGCACAGCAACCCCTGAATGGCAAATGTTGGTGACTGTGCTATAAATACCCTCAGAGAAGGTTGCAGTGTGTGCTGGGCTGGCCCCAACCACATAAGGACTTGATCCAGGAGCCTAAAAAATGTGTAAAGACACTCATAAGACAACACTCCTGCACTATCTAGCGCAGAACTGCACAACTTAAGCACAGATTAAGCAGCTAAAGCTTCGTAAACTGTCTTGTGGCAGCGACATGGCGGCTTATAAAATAAAGTCTGAGTTGAGCCCTCACTGTCGCGTTCCACAGTTAAAATTCTGCTGACTCTGAGTGAGGGAATGAATCCCATTTCTCTGAAGATAACAGAGCATGAAATTGCCACGGTGCAAAGTGTGGCACAATACTGCCACATTCAAGACTAATTGATATTTGACCATGAAGAGAATTTCCTCTCACATTTTTGCCCTCAGAACTGGCAGGAAAATGGGAGGTCAGTTCCAAGAAGTAATTAGTGCTGTTTGCTTTTCTCACACATGAGCAACAGACACACCAGGTAACAGGGTTATTTCTGGGTCAGATTCTGTGGGTCTTCCTGCTCCTCTGGTTCCCTGAAATTCTCTCTCCCTTGAACACCACAGCTAAGAGGCCCCATCCAAACGGGAACTGCAAACTCTTAAGCTTGGGGAACATTTCTCTTTTCTACTACTGCTTCAAATGGTGTGAGGGGAAACGTGGTACTCAAGGAAGGTCCCAAGATTCTTGGAGCCTTGATAGGAATCATGAGGCTGAAAGGCTAGAGGGAAGGGGGATTCCACCTGCCAAGAAGCAAACCCTGTGGTGGGGTCTGGCCTAGGGCATGAAGAACTGTCTCCCTAGCACCACAGCCCAGCACACCCCAAAGGTGTATCTGCAAGAAAGCTCGTCTTTCTGGTTGCACGTGAGTGAGGAGGGAAGCTCAGTCACAAGCATCACACACCCACCAGAATAGTTAAAACAGGACTGACAACACTAAATGTTGGTGAGAGTATGGAGCAAATGGAACTCCCACTGCAGGGCGGGAGTGTAAATAGTATAAACAGTTTGGAAAACTGGTGCTTTCTTAGAAGGTTAAATACACATCTACTCTAAGACCAAGTAATCCTACTCCGAGGTATTTAGCCAAGAGACATGAACACATAATCCACAAAGAGCCATGCATAAGAATGTTCATAGCAGCTTTTTGACTATTCATAATAGCCACAAACTAGGAACAGCCCAGGTGAGCATCAACAGGTAAATGGATAAACAAAATGTGGTATATTCATATGATGGGACCGTACTCAACAGCAAAAAGGAACAAATCATGATATACACAACAACATGAATGAATCTCTAAACGCTGCACTACATATTAGAGCCAGACGCAAAGAACACTGATGCTTCCATTTATATACAAGGCTCAAGAAGAGATAGAACTTACCTACGGTAATAGAAATCAGATCAGTGGAGGGCTTTTCGGTGGGTGAGGGACTAAGGAGGGACAGGAGGAGACTTTTTACAGTGACAGAAATGTTCCATATCTTGATAGGGGTGTGAGCCACACAGGTGTGTACATTTGCCAAAATTGATCAAACTATACATTTAACATGTATCTATTTCATACATGTAAATTATATCTCAATTTAAAAATATTTTTAAAGTACTACCAAATAATTCAGACACAAGTAACAAAAGAAGGGGTAAGAAGAAACCAAAAACAATCAAGCCCTCCTTTACAATGTCAGAAAGTATTAACAGATCCTTCAAAAAAGACTGCATCTATGGAGGCCGATTGGCTGTGTCTTAACCGCGGCAGATGGGGAGTCAGGAAGACGCTCTCCCCAGTCCGCAGGCAGACCCTGCCACAGACTTTCTAGATGGGGAGTGTAATAAGCAGCTGGGAAAGATAAAGTGTTGTTCTAGCTTTAAAATGGTCTAGACTACCCAGGGGTCCAGTGAGAAAGCTAACGGGTTGGCAGGAATTAGAGCCACCCAGTAAGAGTCGTCCTACTCCCTTACAGCAAGGGAGGCCACAGCCACCTCTACTGCTGACAGGAGAGGCACAGCCAGGGTCGAAGCCCAGCAAAACCCTTCTCCTAAGCCTGACTTTCTATACCTGACCTCTTCAGTGACACCACCTCAGCTAGCACAAAACTGTAACACACCAAAGCCGCAGACAGGAGTCCTTCAAGATCAAGGTGCCAAGGCCCTCTCTGATGAATCCAGCAGGCTCCACCGCGCATGGGCTGCCCACGGCAGACCCATCTCCGATCACTTACCACGCGATGGGACTAAAGTCTGCAGAAGGAAGGGGAGGCGAGCATCTGATGTCCATTCTTTTTTTTTTAATTTAAGAGTTAAATTTTCCTTTAACTTGAAGGAAAATTAATCTTTGCAAGTATCCTCTTTTGGCATAATTAAGCTCCAAAACAGGTTCTCAAATCAGAGAGATTTCTTTTTTTCCCCTACACATAATGTTTTCTTATTGAGATATAATTTGCATACTATAAAATTCACCCTTTTAAAATGTACCCTTCAATGGTTTTTAGTATCTTCACAGACTGTGCAACCATCGCCACTACCTAATTCCAGAACATTTTCATCACCTCATAAAGAAACTGAAGCCTATTTTAAATTACTCTTCTGCCCAGGCCATTCTACAATCTTAGGCTGTGACTACTTTTTATTCCCAGAGAGCAACTAAGTGCCCAAGGTTATTCATTCTTGCATTGACCTAAAAGTTTAGCAATAACTCAAGGTACAATGCTGGACTCTTGGCCAAAATGTACAAACTATTACCAGCAGATACCATGCTTGGAAACTGGTGGCTAAAAAGCCCCACAGACCAAGAGAAGCTCCAGAAAGAAATTTAGGAACATCATGCAAAAGTATTCACTTGCTTGAGAGACTTTATAATAAAGTGTAGGATCACTAAACAAGTGGCATTTTAAAAGAAAAACATGGGAAGAAGGTCAGGGGACCCTCTGCTGCTCACCTACTCAGTATGATTTTGGTCATATCACTGAACTCCTTGGGGCTTCAATTTCCTCATTTGTAAAATCTGATGGCACCTGGGATAATCACTAGATGCCTTCCGGCTCTGATCATCATGAATGTCACAAAAGAACAAGCACAGCCTCTTAGCTAAAGGGCCAAGTGATTTCTTTAGGTGAAAATTACTCACTCAAGTCCACTAGAAATAATTCAGGAAGTGAATGAATACATAAACCAAGGAGAACCTGTGAACATGACTTTGCAAAGGCCTTTGACAAAAGCATACTTCAAAGGGGGAGGACACTCCAGAGGCTCTTAAATGTCTGTTGGGCAGCAGCCACCGGCTGCATGAAGGAATAATAAGAGCCCAGCAGTAGGGGTGAGCAGACACTGTCTGGGGTTAACAGCATGTCTTTGTAGGATTTATTATTTTACAAAGGGTTGACTTTTAACAAATGATGGCAGAAAAGGCATTCCACTCTCAAGGTTTTGAGATGTCACCCGGCTGCAGGAGTGGGCAGACAATAGGAGATGTGCTTCAGTGTGGGCGAGTGGAGAGTAATGCATTTAGAGTAATTCAAATGATCCTTACGAGACATGGGTTCAGATACGTTTTACACAATCTAGAAACATCACTCCTGAGTCACTATCAACAATTCCCTGAAGATACTCGCTCAGAGAGTCTGAAATAGCTAAAAACACCAGAAGAAACCGTCATGGCCTTGAGCACAGGATGAGAGCTAGAAGGGGCTTTAGAAAGGACCCAGTCCACTTTCTTCATTTTATAGGTGACAAAACTGAGAACTTAAGCTATGCCTTCTGCATAGCAAGTAGTCAGTAAACATTAGTTTTTTAAAAAGCAGTCTTCTGGCCACTCAGTGAGGAAGCCCAGAGAAATTCCAAGCCTTCCGAGTCAATGTTCTTTCCACCACACTCCACTAAGCCACAAAGAGCACGACCAATAAAACGCACATTTTCAGCCATGCCACACACAGATATTATTGTTTTATCTTTGGCATCAACTTCAAAGTCTTTGAAAGTGAAAAACCACAGTGGAATAGAGTGTTGTGGGTAATTCATGAATCTGAAAAGTAACTACAGAGCGATGGAGGCGGCAACAGGGTGAAGATTAAGTTTTAGAAACTGACTTCTTTAATCTGGAATTATGAAAACTGGATGGTGACATATGATAAAAACTTATGGTACCAGCAGGAAATAGGGTGGATTTGAACTTTTGCACCAAATCCTTTAGCCTGAGGAGCGATTCTGGATGCTTGGAGAAGGAATTTTAGAAGAGGGCAAAACAAGCACATTTACTCAGCGGGTGACAGACTTCCTCTGTATCTGAGATCACCAGATGAAAACATAAACAACATTCAAGAAGAGATAAGAATAAATTCCTCAGCAATAAATCCAGGAGGGGTTAATAAAAGCAGTTTCAGATATGTGGGCCATTCCTAGCCTCTCAGTCTGACATCCGGAAGGCAACCACGTTCTCTTACTAAACGTCTCTCAGAGATAAGCCCACTGGGTGGAATGTACAACATAAAAACAGCAAACAAAGTTAACACTTAGCAGCCTTTACCTGTGGGATGAGATGCAAACGCCAAGAGCACCACACTGAAAAAGATACAGCAAAGCAGTCACGAAAGCTTCCCTGGCACCCCCCAAAAACCATAAATTCCCACCCATTTTACTTGGAAATAGTTAAATTTGCCTAAATGCAAACTATCTTACTGGTCTCATTCTGCCTAAATCCAATTCCTCGGAGAGAGTGAGAATCTCTCGAAATGTCTCATGCTATGGCAAGAGGATTGCCTCGTGGGACAGACATGGGGTGGTGAGAATCCATGTCCCATCTGAGGGTCTGCCATGTCACTTCTCTTGGCCCTCGTTGACCCTGTTATCATACTCACCTAATCTACCAAGAGTATTTGTAAGCAAAAAAGCAAACTCCAAAGTACAAATAGGTTTCAATCTAAAAGCTAGCTATTGAGTGTGAGCTAAGCATATTTTTTGCCACAAAATTAACCGTGTAGAAGATGAATTTCCAAGAGGCTACCCCACAAATTGATCCATGCCATCCACTGTGTGGCTGAAAATGACCTGGACTGATTTCCCCTGATGCCACACAAGGAAAAGGATGAAAGGAAGAATGAAGAGGAGTGTTCCTTTGATGTGAGCCACATACGTCCTTGGCACCCTCCCCTCCCCCAGCACCTATCTGCAGCGCCTCCATCCTGCCAGAAGCCTACTGTGGTGGGCCCAATCCCCTACCCTCTGCACCCTCTTCTACCAAAACTCTGCGCCATCCAGGCAGCTGATCTAGCCAGAGGTTAGGAATAAAGTGCATTATCTAAGTATAGGAGGGAATTTTCTTTTTAAAGAGCCGGTGGCCTACCCTGGTTCTGCACCCCGGCTACACGTTAGAATAGCCCAGCGTGCTGAGAGTAGGGCGCATGCATTGGTTGTTTTACTCTGTTATGGCCCCAGTGTCCCTAAAGTGCTCCGAACTGGGAACCACCCAAGGGATCTCTAGCTGGTGGTGAACCACAGGCAGAGTGGAGGGCGCCCTGTCCTGCCTCTAGGGTTACCTCCCTGCACCATGTCTGTGTTTCCCGGGTTCTTCCTTTGCTCCTTCCCTAAAGCGCAGGTTCTCTGCTGGCCCCTAGAGCAGCAGCAGCGTGGGCAGAGGCTGGAGGACAGGAGATCTGGAGGAAAGGCAATGGAGAAGAGCCACACGTCCAGCCGCTCAGAGGCTGTAGGTGTGTGACCAGGCTCGCATGCAGCTGTAAACATACACACGCAGCAAGTGAGATTGGGGTCTGTGTGATTAGTCCTTCGCACGGGCTCTGTGAGTCTTTGCTCGCCATTTCATCTTTCTTGGGATAACACATAACCTGTACAGACTCCATTATTTTATCTCCCTAGATCCCCTTTTGGTTATAACTTCAGGAAAAGAAGTTATTGCTCCTGTGGCAGGATATGAGGGACCTCTTTCCATCCCCAAATATCTCCCAGGGCCTGCCATGGTACCTCAAGTCCCATTATCAGAATCACCCCAAAGGGTGACCTAAAATAAAGTAACAGGGGGGTAGAAATAAGAAGAAATAATTAAATGAAAGAGTTGGTTCTCTACTCCCTGTTTGAATTTTGCAAATACAACGTTAAACCACTCCTAATTCCTACACTGTGACCTCCTCGAGGACAAGAACCATATTTTATTCATCTCTGGATCCCCAGCACCTCTCAGTGCCTACATACAACAGGTGCTCAATATGTCTGCTGAATGCAGCTGATCACATCTAGGTGCATTGGTGGCGGGAACATGTATGAAAAGAAATATAACTTGAAGCCCCCTATAGTTCTAAGATTATAAATTACATGTAAACTCTAATGGGGAGATTATACTAATATAAAACACATATCATGCCAGACAAACAGCAGACTTTTTTTCAGTCCATTCACTCAATAAATATTTATTGAGTGCCTAATATATGTCAGGTACTTTTCTAATGTCTGAGAATACAGCAGTAAATAAAATAGAACAAAATAGAAAACATCCCTATGCTCACAGGAAATAAAATGGGAAAATGTGAGGAAAATACAATCTCCACATGCTCCAGGCTGTTCTGAAGGTATATTTATTAAGGTAGGATCGAGTTTGAGGCCTGATATGCATTTGCAGTACATTTTTTCTGTTTGACTAAGTCATATCCTAAAGAGAATACCCGTCTATTTCCCTTTGACACAGACGCACGAAATCACATCTGCAAAATAAGGAGATGGAGTATGAACAGGTAACACTATGGTAATTTTCTATTTAATAGACCAGGAGAGACTAGAGTATGCCTCATGTTAAAAAGAAATGGTGCGGCCGGGCGCGGTGGCTCACCCCTGTAATCCTAGCACGCTGGGAGGCCGAGGCGGGCGGATTGTTTGCGCTCAGGAGTTCGAGACCAGCCTGAGCAAGAGCGAGATCCCGTCTCTACCAAAAATGGAAAGAAATTAATTGGACAGCTAAAAATATATAGAAAAAATGAGCTCGGCATGGTGGCGCATGCCTATAGTCCCAGCTACTCAGGAGGCTGAGGCAGGAGGATCACTTGAGCCCAGGAGTTTGAGGTTGCCGTGAGCTGGGCTGACTCCACGGCACTCTAGCCCGGGCAACAGAGTGAGACTCTGTCTCAAAAAAAAAAAAAAAAGAAAGAAATGGTGCTACCAGTACATCTGTAATATTTACGCCATATACATTACCCAAATCCTCCAAGTGCAGATCAAAGCTATACCCATTTTTAGAAGTTCCACTTAATTTCAGCCCCATATCCAATCTCCTCCTTTATTCTGTCCTTCATCCTTCCCCCAACCCTGTGCCTTATACCTGCGTTTATATTAGAAACACCAGAAGTCAGGGGCAGGGAGCAAATATATCCTCAAGAAAACAGGAGTGTGTGCCAAAGGTAGAAACCCACCCAACTGCTTGCCGCTCTCAAAAAACTGAGAGCTCACACCAATCCTTTGCCCTGGCAGGCAGGGCTCTGGGCTGGACACACAAGGACAACCCACAAACCCGAGTGGACTGCAGGTTTCTGGATGCCGACTGCTCAGGTCCAGTGCTGGGGGGAAATCAAATAGTGGCCTTCGTTCTGGTTCATATATTTCATCACGTGTACTGAAAAAAAAGACCTGGAAGCAGAGTCGTGGCTTTAGCGGGTGTGCCAAAGCCTCAGCCAGGAAGCTGGGAGCATCAGGCTCACAGGCAATGAATATCCTCACACCCTGTGAAGGACCAGATGCGGGGAGAGGACAGAGCTGGCTTGGGTCACAGGGGCTCATTTTTCCGTGTTCCTTATTCCTTTGCTGCTGAGGTGGCTATACCTTTTGTGCAGAAGAAGAACTGCCTAAAGTGGCCCAATGTCACAGAAACATCTGAAACCCCAAGAGCCTCCTGTGTTCTTAGAAAAGTCTCTTGAGAGACAGCTGGTGGGTCAGAGCAGGGTGGAACTAATGATTGTTTTCAGCTGACTACAAAAGAGGCCCATAGCCATGCTTGGGGTGAAGCTTGCTTTCAAAAAGGCATTTTAATAAATACTAAGATATTTATGAGCTCTGTCTGCAACTGAAGAATACACTTCATGTTGAACGTTTTAAGCCAAGTAACTTCCTCCGGAAATCAGCACAACCAAACGCTGAGGCACGCCTCCGACCTTGGTCCTCTTCACTAGATGTCACTGCAGTAGACAAACATGGGCTTCCAGCAGCAAACCTCACTTTGTCTCTCAATCAGGTGCCTGTCATGCATGGTTGGGGACAACTAAAACCCAAGAACAAGCCCCAGCTGTTCTATTTAGCAGTTCCATTCTCTGCTTGGCATGGGGCAAAGGTACAAACAGAAGTCCGTATACCATATTTAAAAGTTATAAATCAGGCCTCACACTTGATCCTACCTTAACAAATACCCTTTTAAAATAACCTGAGGTCTAGATTAAAACTGAAAACTCTTAGACTCCTTGGTGCTTCATGTCAGCACGTGGCCTCTGGCTCCCAGCTGCCAATGTATTAATACTCCCTTCTCTTTCCACCCAAGGCTCCAACCTGCAGCCCGAGGGCCTCACATGTGTGGGGACAACTGAGTTTGCAGGGCCACCCTCATTCTATACCCCCTCCCACTAATAGCCTTCTTGGGACACCCCTTGGGCCTGGGAATGAGTTGGGAAGACAGACCCAGGGAGGCCCTGGAACTGAGCTAGGGCCACTTGGGGAGGGGATTCTAAGGCACAGTCTGAAGGGAGGGTGTAGCCTCTGGGCCTTACAGATGCCATGCCCCGGGGAGGGCTGTGGCCCTCTGAAGTTCAAGGCCAGACAGAGGCCCCTCTTACTTGATCTAAGAGCAGGACAACTATTTGGTTTCCTCAATTCTGGTCATCTCACAAATTTAACTTGCCTTCCTAGCAGATACACTGGCTCAGAACTCTTTAATTAAAATATTGTTGGAAAATAAAAATCTATTAGCTCTAGAAGAATATCTGTTGTTCTTTAAAAATATAAATTATGTTTTACCTGAATATATAGTTTAAGTACTGCTGGTCAATGTCACTAAGGAACGAGAGAGAGAAAAAAAAGATAAAACATTAAATAATAGAAGCATTGTAAACGCATAAAATAGTCATTATCCTCTATTAATAAATTCTATCTCTCTATTTAAGTTACTACTTTTGTAAATTATCAATAAATAGAATGAAGAGTACTTTATATCCATAACCAGTTCCTGGCTCATTTTTTTTTTTTTTGAGACAGAGTCTCGCTTTGTTGCCGGGCTAGAGTGAGTGCCGTGGCGTCAGCCTAGCTCACAGCAACCTCAAACTCCTGGGCTCAAGCGATCCTTCTGCCTCAGCCTCCCAAGTAGCTGGGATTACAGGCATGCGCCACCATGCCCGGCTAATTTTTTCTGTATATTTTTAGTTGTCCAGCTAATTTCTTTCTGTTTTTTTAGTAGAGACAGGGTCTCGCTCTTGCTCAGGCTGGTCTCGAACTCCTGAGCTCAACCGATCTGCCCGCCTCGGCCTCCCAGAGTGCTAGGATTACAGGCGTGAGCCACCGCGCCCGGCCCCTGGTTCATTTTTAAAAAACATTTCCTAGTTTAGTACTATCACACACATTTTTACCTGGGGCCAATTATTTACGTATGTACATATGCCACTTTCAAAGGTGTGTCAACTATCTCAGGCCACTAGACTGGCTTTTAGGGCTACCATATTTAACAAATAAAAATATAGGGCACTCAAATAAATTTGCATTTCAGATAAAGAGTAACGTTTTAGCATCAGTACTGTATGTTCCAAGTATCGCATGGGACGTGCTTAAACTAAAAACATGACTCGACGCTTATCTGAAAAATGTATCTGGGCACCCTGTATTTCAACTGGCAACTCTACTGGCTTCTTGCTGCAAAACCACTTTATTAGAAGAGCAAAAGGGGTTCTGGGGAGTAAAAGCCCCACATTTTCAGGGTGGTGACGTTCTCTCAGGAGTCATTCCCTTCAGACCTTTTCTCTTTAGGGCCTTCAGCAACCCCCCAAAACCCAGAGGCCAGCTAGCCAGCCTAGGGATGCTGAATTCTCGCCTTCTTTCATTTCCATTCACCAAGGCTGTTCCATTGACTGCCTGTAACAAAGGCCTCATTTTGCCCAAGAGCAGAGCTAGTAATTAACGAAGACTTCTGCATCCAAACTGAGTCAAATCAGGAAGGGGCCGGCCAGGGAAACATGAAAAAAGCCTTGTCCCTTTGAGCTGGGCATAGACAATGGGGGCCCAAACCACATACATCTTAAAATGCCACCTAAGTGGCTGCCCCTGAAGGAAGGAGAGTGAGACTCCACGCCTCTGCACACGTTGCTAAAGGCTAACACGTGTCAGCTGTTGGTGGACCCAGCCTGGGGTGGCCTAGTAGTAAGAGGAACGAGATCTTCTTGGGTCGAGTCCACTGCCCTCACCACAACCCAGACCTGTGGAGTCTCTGGCTGAATGGAAGAATCCCACGTCACCAACTGTCTCACCCCTTTTCTTTACCCAAAGGACAACTCACCAAACATTAAGAGTTTACCTTAATGCGCTGGGTTTCTGGGACTTCCGTAGTATTTTATAAGCCCCTGAAAATGGATCAACATGTGTCACTGGTACACAGCGTTCTGCTTAAGGAGCTGCCTGCACTTCCAGGGAAGCACAAAATCTGCCTGGAGAAGGGCCCCAGAGGTGCCGCAGCTGGGCCCCTGTTCCCTGCGAGGGTCCCACATAGCTGACAGAGGAGACCAACAAGATTTGGAGGGTTTCAAGGATGCGAATTTGACAATTCTCTGTGACAATGTAGTTCAGTCCTTCCCACAGAGAGTGCCGGGCAAGGGAAGTGTCATGATCAATGGAAGGACCCAATTCACAGGAAGGTTTTACTTCCTTTATGTGATGCATGCGAGAAAGAGAAGCACCACTGGATTTCTGAACATTTCTGAACGTGTTAACAAAGTCAGGACACTGTTTTTTCTTCCCAAGACTACAAAATACAAAACACTTAACGTATTATTTGAAATAAAATCAGATAGTCCTATTTCATTAACTTAAATTTTTTGGGGTATACTACTGAAAAGAAAATGTTTTTGACGTGAACTTCCGGTTATCCTCTCACCATTTTCAGAGAAGACCAGCCAGCATTCCACAAGTGGACTTCAGCAAGCAGAACCTGGGCCATGGTGAGTTAGTTAATGTTCACCAAGAAAAAAAGGAAATTATATTGAAAATGGAAACATTTGAGGAAAACTCCAAAATAGAAAAACCAATCCAGAAAACACCCATTTAATTTTAACCTTGACATCTTGGATTTAATTTTCCTGTTGTCCAGGGTCACTGGTGGATATATTACATATGATAGGGTCTAAATAATAAACCTCAATTATTTAAGCAAGGATTCTTTTAAAACTTACCTACACAGAATAAGTGAATTACAGCCCAAAAATATCCATCTGGATCAAACTGTAACACAGGAATAAAAATAGAAAAAAATGGCTCTAAGTACAAACAGGATCCAGTGTGGCAATCAGAAACCCTTGTCGTCGGAGCACAGTGCCAAGCAAGGTCCCAAAATGGGACCCTTGGGGCCTGAAGTCAGTTCCTCAGTCCTTCCTCATTTCTCACGCACCTGCCTACAACATCTTCCCAACAGGACTCTCCATCTCCATCACCCCATTCCCCAAGCTGCCATCGCACCGAGTTGAAATCCAAACTCATGACACCCAAGCCCTCCAACCCGTCCAGGTACATCCACAGCCCCCCACCCTCCAAAACACAGATGACTTGCATTCCCCAAGCATGAATGCTTCCCCCTTCACCTCAACCCAGGGGAAACCCTCTGATTCTACCCTCCCTTATTATTCTCCGTAGAGCTTAACAGACTGCAAATTCCAGGAGGGCAGGAATTGGAACAGGGCAGACACATAGCAGGCGCTCAGTGAAGTTGGATCACAGAACACTCATGACCTCTCGGATGCCTCCCTCGCCTGCTGCTTCTCCTGGCTAACTCCTCCTCAGTCTAACAGATTTAGGCCCAGTACAGAATTTGGCTCTAGCTTCAGAGAGACCTGAGTTAAATTCTAAAACCCCCACTTATCTGCTAGCTGGTGACCTTTGGGCCTCCTTATTCTTTAGCTATGAAATGGAGATAATAATAGTCCCCATCCTTAAAAAAATGTGGTGAGATTTTAAATAAAATAAGACACATAAAGCCCTGGCACGGAGCCTGGGACACAGCAGGCTTCCTGTAATTGTCAGCTGTGGCTCCTTCCTGAGTCCCCAAGTCTTCCTAGGTGCTTCCCAGACCCCCACACCTGCCCTGGCCTCTCTGTTACAATCATCGGTTTACTCGTATGTTTCCCTCCCTTTTGCTCTGAATAGACTCCAACTTCTGCCTGGGCAAAGACCAACCTTCTTTGTGTCCCCAGAGCCTGGCTCAGTGCCTGACACTTGGTGGGGACCTAATAATGCTGAGGGAGAAAAGAGAAGGAAAAGAAAGAAAGGAAACCCAGAAGCAAGAGGACTCCTGGGGTGGGGGCGGGTCTGCAGTGCCCCATAGAGAAAACTCAACTTTGGCACAGTATGATTAAATGAAAATCACTCAGCAGAAGATGAGGCACTTTGGATAAGAGGAAAAGTCAACTTTGCCTCAGTGCCTGAGGCTGGGGCAGCTTGGGTGTTGGCCTGCAGGTCCACCAGGCACGAACAGAGGACAGAGCTGCATGGGCCACGCCGCCCACAGCCTGGGGAAGAGGTGTTGGCTGGGCCCAAAGCTACCCAGGCTGAAAGCTTTTAAAATGCTATTGCATAGGCCAAGTTGTCCTGATTCCAAAAGGAATGACAAGGAAATTCTGGTCATATATGCAGGCTTCAGAGAGTACAAGAGACTTTGAAGGCAAAATGAGTTCACCTGGACTTACCTGGGAGTCATTGAAGGGAAGGCACCCCGCTGCGGCCAGGAGGAAGAGGGCACTGTGGAGAGGGAGATAAAACGCTGTGGCTTCACCTTCCAACATCAAAGCGTTTCCCAGACAGTGCGAAGGTTGAAAGGCATCCACTGGCGTGTGGATGAGGCAGAGATCCTGTGCGACCAACCCAGTTCCCTGTCCATCCTCTGAGGAGCCGACTACCTTTGTATTTTCTATTATGTTCTCTGCTGACAACCAGACATTCCCTCCTCTCGGCCTCCGCGAGCCATTTCCCAGAGGCAGGCGTTTGCAGGACATCTGCAAAACCACAGCTGGCTCACTTGAGAGAAACTGTGTGTCTGTGAAACGTCTAATAAAAGGAGATTTTTTTTCAACTACAGATCCCAAAAAAATAGACAAGTGGAAAATTGGGCAATCAGACCACAATTACCCCAGTTACAAAAATGAAAACACCACGGAAAGCACATGAAAGCCTTTGGACAGGCCGGGCGCGGTGGCTCACGCCTGTAATCCTAGCACTCTGGGAGGCCGAGGCGGGCGGATCGTTTGAGCTCAGGAGTTCGAAACCAGCCTGAGCAAGAGCGAGACCCCGTCTCTACTAAAAATAGAAAGAAATTAATCGGACAACTAAAAATATATAGAAAAAATTAGCCGGGCATGGTGGCACATGCCTGTAGTCCCAGCTACTCGGGAGGCTGAGGCAGTAGGATCGCTTGAGCCCAGGAGTGTGAGGTTGCTGTGAGCTAGGCTGACGCCACGGCACTCACTCTAGCCCGGGCAAAAGAGTGAGACACTGTCTCAAAAAAAAAAAAGAAAGCCTTTGTACACCACCACAACCAAATGGTCAAACTTATCGTCTCCAGTGATGGGACAGGTCTAACCACGTGCCTCGACAGTACCACTCAGCAGGAGACAACATTACTCAGGTGGCATTCCTGCCAAACACGGGAACCTAAACTGAATCATGGGGAAACACTGAGACAAACCCAAATTTAGGGATAGTCCACAAAATGACTGGGCTGTACTTTTTAAAATTTGAAGGCAATGAAAGACGATGGAAGGCTGAGGAAGTGTCCAGATTAAAGGATATGAAAGAGACATGACATCATTGAGGGGAAAACTGCTATAAAAGAGAATATTGGGATAACTGGCAAAATTTGAACATGGACTCAATACTAGATAATAGTATCATATCAGATGCAAATTTTCTAAATTTAATAATTGCACTTTGGTTATATAAGAGATTGTTTTGTTTTTTGAGACGGAGTCTCACTCTGTAACCCAGACTAGAGTGCCATGGTGTCAGCCTAGCTCACAGTAACCTCAAACTCCTGGGCTCAAGCGATCCTCCTGCCTGAGCTTCCCAAGTAGCTGGGACTACAGGTGCACGCCACGCCCGGCTAATTTTTCTTTTTTCTTTTGTAGAGATGTAATCTCACTCTTGCTCAGGCTGGTCTTGAACTCCTGAGCTCAAGCAATCCTCCCTCCTCAGCCTCCCAGAGTGCTAGGATTACAGGCGTAAGCCACCATGACCAGCCTATTCTGCCTACTTTTATATATGTTTAGAAATTTCCACAATAAGACTTTTTTTTTTAATTCTCACACAAAAGAGTAACATCGTCAATCACAGATATTTCCAGGAAGCTATCCTCATTCATTAGAAAGTCAACTTGGAGCTGGTTCAGTAATCACTGGTTTTTAGCATATCTCTTTTGGGTTTCATATACCAAAAAATCTTGCCTCTAGCTTTCCCCAATCTTCCTCTCATCCTAAAAGAAGGCATCAGAAAGCACAAAACCCAAACTGTCGCTCAGTCACCCTCCTCTTTCCATTTTACAGATGCAACAACATATATAGCGCTGGGCCCCTTCTCTACTGAACATCCCATCAGGCAGCAAACAGCAAAGAATCAAAGGCATGAACGAAAGCACTGAATACAGCGTTTTCACTTTTAGGGGACTTTGTCATATGCCATTTCATATCAATATATATTCTATATATAAACTATATGTTTTACATATTTATATATGCATATAACAACCTAGTATCTATAATCTTAGTACACTGAAAACAGGGATGCTATGCAACTCTAACAGTCCTCACTGCCGGAACCATACGTAGGTGTCTGCTGTACCTGACAGCCCAGCAGGGCCAGCTAGGTCGGTGGCAGGAGAACTGGCACAGAGCAACCCTTGGAGCTGGGGCCCCACAGCCTTGGGAAGGTCAGTACAACAGCCTGAGGCTCAGGACACTTCTCCACCCCAGCACACCACACTCCCATAGCCTTGCAAGGCACACACAAATGACCTAGAGAAGAAGCCAAGGCAAAGAGTGGAGTAAGCGGAGGGGAGATTGTCAGGAGGGCTTCTTGGGACTGCGCAGCAATAGGCAGGTTTTAGGTGGGAGGAGAGGAGAATCCCAATGGGTTTGGCATCTACCTACCTACAGTGAAAGGCTTTGCAGAATATGGGAGCTTCCCCATCCACAGGGAACTAGAGATACCCTCAAACAGACAACCCCAGGGGCAGGGGCTGGGGGAGACAGAGGACACCCGGGGGTGAGATAGCTGCCTGGTTTCCCATAACACCAGGCCTTGAGCAATACCTGATTATATCAGGTATTAGTGGGTTTTAATGTCTCTCTTTAACACCTGCTAATCTCTTTTTAAACAAGCAAATGAGTCCTGAGGTTTTGTTTTTCGTTTCTCTTTCAAGTTGCAGCCTATAATAAAGGCAAAAAGGAAGAGGGGGAGGGATTGGAAGAAAGCCCAGAAACATCTGAAACAAAAGTCCTAAATCTATCTATCAAAGCATCTCTGTTGGTTTTCGATGAATACAGCTTTTTTACTTCTAGGGGCTTCTTAGCTACTGCAGAAAGCAGTCAGAAAACAAGGCACCCGGGTTAGAATTAGAATGCCGGAGGCAGAGGTACCTGCCCAAGAGGACAGCCTGGTTCATGGTCCAGCTGAGGAAACTGAGGTACAGAGGATGAGAAACCTTCCCATGACCCAGGACTCACAGGCTAGTGTTTTTCCCACCATGGAAAATCTTAAAGCCCCAATAAACTGCAAGCATTATTTTTGAAATTTTAAGTCATTTCCGTGTTTTTCATTTTTGCTCTCCATCAGTATTGCACAATTATTAGTGAAGTTTTGGGCATCAACAACTGAAATCTAGCGTGGGTTGGTTTTGTTTTTCCCTTAAAAATAAAATATTTCAGGAAAAAAAAAGAGACAGACACAGGAAATTTTAGAATAAGACACAAATTAGGGATATAGGAGTGTTTATAATAAATTCCTGTCAGCTCCCAGAGTTTAAATCTTCAACAGTTTATTATTCAAGTTAAAATTAGATTAAATCTTACATTTCAGAGGTTTTTTTAATTTTAACTTACCTACAGATCTTTGCAGGAGATACTTTCTGTATGGAAATAAAGAGACCTATAATTAGACTTTCAAATCTCTTTTTTTTTTCCTTGAAAGAAAACATTTAGATCAAGAGGCAATAAATCATGAATAAGTTTATTAGGGGGCTTAACAGCTTGCTACACTTCAGTATTAAATGAAGCTTTTTCTGCTTGGACCAAATGAAGGATGACTCAGAGTTCCAGAGTTGAGTCACTTGGGCAAAGCACTTTCACCATTAGAATGATGTTTACCCGTGAAAAACAAAATGACATCGCGGCCAAGCCTTCAAAAATCTTACGCACCAAGAAAAGGAGAGAGAAAAAAATCAATGTAACCTGTATTTAAAAAGCAATTAAGCTCTTGTTCAACTTCTATTCTAGTTCTGTCTCTTTAAATATTCCTTTCATTAATCCAACTCTGACTCTAAGCAATACTATAAATTATCTGGTATGACATAAAAATTAAGAAATAGGAAAAAGTAGAAGGGACATTCCACTCCACCCTAGGCAGAAGGAAAAAAAAGGGCAGACAGAGGGAATACAAAATTGGCATTTAAAGCTCCCTGAAATGATGAAATTTTATTATAGTTTGCACTTCTTTTAATTCATTTAAGAAAATCAGTCCTTTGTATTGTAGACTAATGTGTACATGTTAACACACATTAATTCTGAACATAGCAAAAGGATCGTTTTGCTAGTTGGGGACAAACTACAATTTTTGACACCAGTTCAGGTAAAGTATAAACACATTGTTGAGAAGTGAAGGGCTGACAAGAGAAACATGTGGCTTGCTAGAAAGGCTGTCTTAAGTCTTCATGTGTTACTAAATAACTAAGTTTTTGCTGTTCTAATAAACAGATCCTGTTTGTGTGCAAAGCCGTGGCTTGCATCTTTCAAATCTTTCATCTCTGAGCTTTGTCCAACCCTGCCTCTGGAGGCCAAGTGTGACTGCACTGCCACCTGGTGAGAAGTTAGTAAGGAAAGGATGAGGGCAAAGGTGATACCTGCGTAACTGCCTCCATGACGGTAAAATGTGTTACTAAAGGATACTGGGCTAAATATAACCAAACTCTCAACACTCTGGTGGAGGAGTAGAAACAAAAAGGATGTTCCAACTCTCCCATGAATAACATGGTCACCCAGTAACTGTTCCAGGACTTACGTTGCAGGGCAACAAATAAATCCAGTGCCTAAAAGAGTTCACTCTTTCCAAGGAGGAAAGATTCTTTTTTTATTTTAAACTCCTTCTGACTAGAAGAGCTCGGAACCTGAGATACCAGGAGAAAAACAAGCAATGTGTTCATGACTTAGCTCCACTCCCCCAGGGCTCTGAAGACTTCTGAGGAGATGATGTTGGGACATTCACCTTTCCAGGCCCCTCAGTCCAAAAATAACCCATAATAAGTCCTAATGATATCTCAGGGTTCTGAATGGGTAAGGCACAGTGCCAAAAATAACAATAAATAGCTAACTTATTCTGAGGGCTACTTACTCTGTGCCAGGTGCTGTTCTAAGGGCTCTATAGCTATTGATTCATTTAATTATAGATTAACTAAGTCAAGGGTTAAAGGTTACAGATGAGGGCATTCAGGACACTGAGAAATGAGGGGAGTTGCCCGCAGCCCACCTGCCAGTCCTGCAGTGACACCTCCACTGGCCCCCTTAAGCCACTGGCCTTCATTGCTGCTTCCTCTGCCTGCCTGGAAATGTCCTTGCTCCTTGTCCAACTGGAAAATCCCTATCCGTCCTGGGTGACTCGGCCCAAATCTTGCCCCTGGGGAAGCTTTCCCTGCCCCTTCCAAGCAGACTTACTGGTGGTCACCCCCTGGTCCACCCACCACCCTGTTCCAGCCCATATGACATTGTACGGGCATCATGGCCCAAATTTACAGGTCAGCTCCTCCGTTCACCTCTGAGTTCTGTGAGGGGAAGAAATGTGCCTTCTACATCTCTGCAGCTTTAGAATTATCAAGATGTTGGACATCATCTACTTAATAAACATTGAATGAATTAATAAATAAATGCAGTATTCCAATACTAAACTGTAATAAATAAGTCTACAAGGCAGTAAGATTACTTCCATGAGCCACATTCTACCTTATAGTCAAACGGTATGTGTATGAATGTGTGTGCGTGTGTGTGTGTGCACAAAGGATTGGTTGTGGGTGGTAAAAATGAGTACAGGCTCCAGATAGGGTTTATTTTCATAATCTGGGAATGAAGTCATGAGGAGGTCAATTTCACTCTCCAAAATGGATTCTAGGAAAACCTACACAGAATAGACAAAATAGCCCTCGTTGTAACATTTAACAGTCTGTGCAACTGTTCCTCATGGGATCATTTCATCAAGGCTCCCAGCTGTATCCTCTGAAATGTAAGTCTCATCAAGAACATATCACAGCAGGCCGGGCACGGTGGCTCATGCCTGTAATCCTAGCACTCTGGGAGGCTGAGGCGGGCGGATCGTTTGAGCTCAGGAGTTCGAGACCAGCCTGAGCAAGAACGATACCCCGTCTCTACCAAAAATAGAAAGAAATTAATTGGACGGCTAAAAATATATAGAAAAAAT